TTCCTTCAATGACAGGTCATAGTTCTGCACATATCTCTCAGTAGCTGTACATTCTTACACCTTTGTAATAATCACATCAATGCCACTTCTGATACCATGTTTCAATGGTGCAACACAGCAGTGTGCTCAACATAAGGACTTTTTTAAAGTGAAGTTCAGATTTCTACAGCAGATCAGAAGGGAAAATTGTAAATAATTGCATTTCAATACAATCAACCCTCTTGGTCTGATTTTTTTAATTCCTTCAGGGTAAGTGAGATTTGCTGGCTGGGCCAAGAATTATTGTCTATCCCAAATATGCTTCAGAAGGTAACGGCGAGCTGCCTTTCAGACTGTGGTCCATTTGATGCAGTATACCCACAATGCTTTCAGTGAGGGAGTTGCAGGATTTTGACATAGCAAAACTAAAAAAGGGCAATATAGTTCCAAGTCAAAGTGGTTAGGGGCTTGGAGAGGAGCCTGCATTCCCATGTATGTGTTCCCCTTGAATCCTAGGTGGTAATGGCTGTGGGTTTGGAAGGTGCTATCTAGGGAGTCTTGGTGAATTTCTATAGTGCAGCTGGTAGATGCATCAGTGGTGAAGGGAATAAGTGTTTGTGGATGTGGTGCCAATCCAGCAAGTTGCTTTGTCCTGAACCATGTCAACCTTCTTGCATGTTGTTGAGGCTGCACTCATCCAGGAAAATGGGGAATATTCGATCACACTAATGACTTGTGCTATGTAGATAGTGGATAGGTTTTGGGGAGCCAGGAGGTGAGATACTCATTGCAGGATTCCAAACCTGAATTCTTCTGACCACCATATTCATATGTCTCACTCAGTTCAGTTTCTGGTCAATTGTAATCCCGAGAATGTTGATATTGAGAATTCAGTGATGGCAACGCCATTGAAAATCAAGGGAGGATAGTTAGATTCTCTCTTGTTGGTCATTTCCTGGCATGAATGTTACTTGCCAATTATTAGTCTAAGCTTGGATATTGTCCAGGTCTTGCTGCATGTGGACATTAATGGCTTCAGTGTCTGAGGAGTTACAAATGGTATTGAATCATTATGTAATCATCAGCAAATATCCCTAACACTGACCTTGTGATGGAGGATGGTCAGTGACGGAGCAGCTGAAGATGGTTCAACCTAGAACATTACCCTGAGGAACTCCTGCAGAGATATCCTGTGGGTGAGATGACAGACCTCCAACAACCACAATCATCTTCCTATGTGCATAGCAAGAACTGGAGAGACCACTCCCATTCCCCCACTCCCATTCCTCGATTCCCATTGACTTTAGTGCTGCTTTTTACCACCCTCAGTCAAATGTGGCCTTGATGTCAAGGTTTGTCACTCTCACCTCACTTCTGAAGTTTAGCTCTTTTGTTCTTGTTTGGACCAAGGCTGGAATGATGCGAGAGACTAATTGGTACTGATGGAACCCAATCTACACATCAGTGAGCAGGTTATTGCTTAGAAAATTCTGCCTGAAAACACTGCCCATGATCACTTCCATCACTTTACTTATGCTCAACGTAGATGTGATGAGGACGTTTTCTCTTGTGGGACAATCTAGAATGAGAGGTTGTAGTTTTAGGATAAGAGGTAACGGATTGGAAACAGAGGCGAGGAGAAATCACTTCTCTCAAAGAATCATGAATCTGGAATTCAGTACCCCAGAGTACAGTGGATGCAGGGACATTGAGTAAATTTAAGGAGAAACTAGACAGATTTTTAATTCATAACAGGTTAAAGGATTATGGAGAGTAGACAGGAAAGTGGAGTTGAGGTCAAGGTGACATCAGCCATGATCATATCAAATGATGGAGCAGGATTGAGGGGCTGATTTTCCTATTCCTGCTCTTAGTTCTTATGTTCTTATGACTGAGAGCAGACCGATCAGGCTGCAAACTGACTGGTTAAAATTATCTTGCTTTTAGTATGCAGGATGTACCTGTGGAATTGTCTACATTACCAGGTAATCATCAGTGCTGTTGCTGGACTTAGTTAGGGTAGTGACTGGGGCTGATGCACAAGTCATCAGTATTATTGTCGGAAACTTGTCAGTGCTCTTAGCCTTTGCTGAAAAGTGGAATACCTTTTCCCAGTGACCAACAGTGGAGGCCATGCTGCCAAACCAAGCCGGCTTAGATCCAAATAGCAGACTGGGTCTACTGCTGTCTCCTGGGTGAAACAGGGTGCCCAGGAGTTCAGGAAGCAGGGTAAGGGTCACCCTCTTCTTTCTGCTGTCTCAAATTCACAGGGCCATCACTAACACCGCCACTGCACATGCATCTCACTTGGACTACAACTCTCACTGTTACATGCATCATATCCATTTAATGGCTCTGACCCACCTGATCTCTCCAAACTATTCAACCTTAGGTTAAGATAAATGCTTCCAATCTAATTTGGTGTTACAATAATCATTAGAGAGTACTCAAGTTACCAGACCTGGAGGCTGGAGACAGAATGGAATTGCGATTAAATCATCAAGGTTAATAACTTGAAGAAAACACTACCCCCTCGATTATGACGCCACCCCTGATCACCAAACCATCCGGAAAGACCACATTCATATTCCTATCGTGCAGAGACACAAATTGGGACAGAGATAAGGGATGGGTGCGCACTAGATATTACAAGGATGCAACCACCTACAGAGTTATGGAAGATGACCTGAATGGTAAATTGGTATCAAGTGACAATTCTCACTTTTCTCAGTAGAATTCAAGGGAACGCGTAGACAGCTCAAATCCTCAACTTCCACTGAGAGAGCTAAGAATACCTCACGGGGCTGCACGGTGGCACAGTGGTTAGCACTGCTGCCTCACAGCACCAGGGACCCTGGTTCGATTCCAGCCTCAGGCAACTGTCTGTGTGGACTTTGCACATTCTCCCCGTGTCTGCATGGGTTTCCTCTGGGTGCTCCAGTTTCCTCCCACAGTCCAAAGATGTGCAGCCTAGGTGGATTGGCCGTGCTAAATTGCCCGTAGTGTTCAGGGATGTGTAGATTAGGTGGGTTATAGGAGGATGGGTCTGGGTGGGATGCTCTGAGGTTTGGTGTGGACTTGTTGGGCTGAAGGGCCTGTTTCCACCCTGTAGGGATTCTATGAATACAATTGAATTGAATAGAATAGTGAAGCCATCATAGCTGTTTTCTCTGAGAATTGGAGATGAAGTTAGACACTTGGGGAATACTTACGTTAAGGAGATTTATATAAAATGTAATGTTTGGGGATAGATATGGTATAAAGTGTTAATATGAACATAGAAATAACAGTTTATATGATCACTGGGAAGTGATATAATATCAAATGACTATGAGCTGACAGTAATTTCTAACAGCATTGAGGACGTGGTGAAATCTTAACCTGTTTATTGTTATTATTTACTGTGATATTATAGAAAGTTATGCTTGCTGACATCCAGGGACTCCAACAATAGTTATTAAACTCAAATAGCAGAAAAAGGAGGAAGACAGGAAACAGGAAGCTATAGACCATTTAGTCTAACATCTGCCATTCTAAAAATGACAGAAAAAGTTCTGAGGGAGATAGTAGCAGGAAATTTTGAAAATCATAATTCAATCAGGCAGAGTTAACATGGTTTTGTGAAAGGGAAAACATGTTTAATAAACTTAGAATTATTGGAGCATGTAAAAGCTGGGTGGATGAAGAGAAACTAGTATTTGAATGTCCAAAAGTCACTTCATAAGGTGCCAAATAAAAGGCTACTGCAGGATATAAGATTGCTGATTTAAGAATTATATATTAGCTTGGGACAGAGAACTTGCTAACAAGCAGCTAAGAGAGCCAGAGTAAGCAGATCACCTTCAGCATGGTAAACTGTTACTTGTGGGATACTGCAATCCGAGGGCTTTAACTATTTATGATCTAGAATCATGACTTGGATGAAGGTACCAACTTTGTTGCAGCCAAAAGTTTTGTTGGTCCAAAGGTTGGTACAAACATAAGCTGTGAAGAGGATAGAAAGGGTTTTAAAATGAACTTGGATAAATTATGTGGATGGGCAAAACAATTAGCAGTTTAAGTATAATCTGGAAAAAATGTGAGCTTGCCCACTTTGATGATAATAGGAAAGCAAAATATTTTTCGATGAAGAGAGACTGTAAAATGCTGTGGCAGCCTAGGATCTGGGTACTTGTGTTCATGAATTATTTTTAAAAAAGTTAGAATACAGGAACAACAAGTAGTTAGGAAGAAAAATTAAATGTTGGCCTTTATTTCCAGGAGAATGGAGTATAAATGTAGAGAAGTCCTGGTTCAACTGTACATGACATTGGTGAGACTGCACTTGAAGTACTGTACACAGATTTGATCTCGTTACTTAAAGAGGGAAATGCTTGCATTAAAAGCAGCTCAGAGAATGTTTATTAGGCTGATTTCTGGAGCATAGAAGAACAAGCAATAATCTTATTGAAATGTAAGATTTTGAGAGGGTTTGACAGGATAGTTGCTGAATATTTCCTCTCTGCAGAATCAAAGACTCAGGTTCACAGTTTCAAAGTAAAGGGCCTTCTATTTAAAAGCACTGAAGACAAATTTCTTCTCTCAGCGGGTCTTTAATCTTGAGAAATGTCTTCCACCCAGAGCATTACTGGTTGGTTCATCGAATATATTCAAGGTTGAGTCAGATTTTTGATTGACATGGGAGCAGAGAGTTGTGGAGGTCCAGGCAGGAAAATAGAGCTAAGGCCACAAACAGACCAGCCATGACATTACTGAATGAGTGGATGAAGCTCTATGAATTCAGTGACTTACTCCTGTTCTAATGATGATGTGAATTAATCACCATTGTCTGTCTTTTGGACAAACTCCACCACCTGTCTTCGGTATGGCATTGTTCCCCATTATCGTGTTGTTTATCTACTATTTCCAGTTGTTCTTGGTATTTGTTACTGTTTCTCTTTGGCTTTTCGGCACTGGTCAGTACCCAGCGCTATGAATTGCTACTTTGCGTTGCTAGTGTATCTGCTTTGCGTAACAATCCGGCGTAACAATGGATCCGGAGGGCAGAGGAAATAACAGACTCCTGGCCACAACCCTCTTGTTGCTTCACAGAAGGAAGGAACCCGGCCTGGCTCTGTGACTTCATCTGCAATCTCGTTACCTTCCTTCAGGTGAGACTGACCCTCCCCAGCTTCGCCACTGGTCCGAACGGGACCAAAACCATGGACACCTCTGCTGTGATCATTGACAACGGCTCCGGTATCTGTAAGGCAGGGATAGCCGGGGACAATGCACCGAGATCGGTGATTACATCCATTGTAGGACGCCCCAAAGCCAAAGCTACAATGCTAGGCGCTGGCCACAAGGAGTATTACGTCGGGGAAGAAGCACAAGCCAAGAGGGGCGTCTTGAGTTTGAAATATCCAATTAAACATGGCATAGTGGTCTCCTGGGACGATATGGAAAAGATCTGGAGGCATGTCTACGATTGTGAACTGCGCGTAAAATCGCACGAAAGGCCGGTGCTGTTGACAGAAGCCCCCTTGAACCCTTTACACAACCGAGAGATCATGACCGAGATGATGTTTGAATGCTTCAAGGTCCCTGCAATGTACGTGGCGGTGCAAGCTGTCCTTGCTCTGTACGCTTCAGGGAGGACAACCGGCTTAGTGATGGACAGCGGGGATGGGGTGACCCACACCGTGCCCATCTATGAAGGTTACTGCCTCCCCCACGCCGTCAACAGGTTCGACCTGGCCGGCAGAGACATCACCCAGTACTTTGTCAGGATTTTGATGGAAGTTGGCCATACATTCATCTCCTCGGCAGAGAGGGAAATTGTGAAGGACATTAAGGAGAAACTGTGCTATGTAGCCGTCGATCCACAGCTGGAGATCAGGAAGAAACGAGAAGACATTCAGAAGGAATATAAGCTGCCGGATGGAAATGTCATTCAGATCCAAAGCCAGCTTTTCAGAGCCCCGGAGATCCTTTTCTGTCCAGCCAGCGTGGGTTTCGAGTGCCCTGGTGTTCACAGGCTAGTCTACAAGAGTATCTTGAAATGCGACATCGACCTGAGAAAGTATCTCCATTCAAACGTGCTGCTTTCAGGTGGCTCCACGCTTTTCCCAGGTCTGGACGAAAGGCTTTTGAAGGAACTGCAGTTCCTGGTTCCCACTGGAGTGCCGGTCAAAGTCATCGCCCCACCAGAGAGGAAATACTCCGTCTGGATTGGGGCTTCCATTCTAACCTGCTTGACGTCTTTTCAAGAAATGTGGATTACTGCTTGCGAATACTTGGAGATGGGGTCGTGTGTGGTTCACAGAAAATGTTTTTAGGAACTCCTGTAAGATAACAACTATCGCTAAGAATAGCAGATACTTTAATCGGCCGTGGTTTCTTAATGTTAAATGAAAAATAAACGACCGGAACTCATATTTCTGAATGGCTTTGGTTGTGGGTTGCTCTGACTTTAACTGCTGTTAGATTGTAACAAGACATTGCCCAGGTAGATATCCAAATGTTTATGAGTTATTAAAAAGCGTATGTCCATGTGCACTCCGCGTGTACGGAATTTTAATGCCTGCTATTGTGTTTTTGTAACATTTCTGTGTCAACTTATTCCCATTATAAATCTGTGTCCGTATTTACACTTCCTATATACTTGTGATTGTAACCTTCCACCATTGGTTACAGAGTAACGCTTCAATGTTACACCTGCAAGCTTTTAAACCTATAGAATGGAGGAAACTTTTCCAACTAAATGTAATTCTGTTTCCTAAACTGAATTTTAGGCATATTTTCATTTGATATTTATAAATTAGGACAAAAAATGTAACACTGAATTGGTGAACAAGTATATATTATTAGCATTGTACATCAACATTATTAAAACATTTCCTGTCCTCTAATTACAAATCAACAGAGAACTCTGTGTGTTCCAGACTCCACTCAATAAGGCAAAGGTAAAGTCAACATAGTCCCACCAGACCATAGGGCTGTTGTCTGGTTAGAGTGACAACTACTGATAGTTTAACCCAAGGATCATCACACTTTCCCTACTTTGAATAATGTCGTTGGATCTTTTACGCCCGTGCGAGAGGGAAGGATTATTTCTTTTCTCTCTCAGAATCTTCTTGAAATTTTCTGGACTGCTACTTTTTAGGTTTCAGAGGCTATCTTTTGGTTTTCGGGAGTTTATTTTAATTTTTCTCGTGAACTTATTTATTATTTGATACAGTCAACAATAACATCTTCTGTGTCTGTATTGACATACAGATTGTTTGGACTTAGCAGCAGGATCAGAAGAATTCATCATTATCATCAATAATTGTCAAACTTTCTTTAAACTTTCTTTAAACAACACACAAGGAAAGCTTTAATTTCCTAAGCACCACATTATTTTAAATGGCATAAAACAATAGGCATAACTTGATAATGAAGGATTTTTTTCAAAATACTCAACATACACTTTGACAAACAAAATGTCAGCATTTGAAACACACCTTCCCTAGACTTCTGAGATCACAATTAATGCAGTTGCATCACATTAGCTCAAAATTAGAATATTTTAACCAGGCAGTTACTACCCTTTTTAATTGCATCTCGGTTCTCAATCTCAGCTTTAAATTTAACAACTGACAAAATGTTCTATACAATGGCATTCAATATATTTTCCCCATCAAGTAATTCTTTATACAGCATTAAAATGAGATTCTGCATTTATTTTCAATATAATATAATGTAGAAAATGTTAACGTGTCCATTTTGGCAGGAAGAATAGTAAAAACAGCATATTCATTAAGTAGAAAGAGATTGCAAAACTCCGAGGGTCAGAGGAATCTTGGTGCCCTAGTACATATTTAATACACATTTACTATCCTGGTATAGGAAGTGATGAAAAGTTGTGCCTTACTGCAAGGTATATGGAATATATAAGTAGTGATATTTTGTTACAGTTGTTCAGGGTATTGGTAAGACCTCATCTGGGGTACAATGTATAATTTTGGACCCCTGCTTCAAGCAATGATATCAATGCACTAGAATCAATTTAGGCAATATTCATTTGGCTGATATCTGGGATTGGCATGGGGGGTTATCTAATGAGCAGATTTGATAGGCTGGGCCTGTGTCATTGAGTTTGGATGAATAAAGGGTGATCTTGTTGAAACATTTAACCCTGAGAGAACTTGCCAGCAAGGATGCTGAAAAGATGTTTCCTCTTTGGGAAAGACTATAACTGAAGGAGACAGCATAACAATAAGATATCTTCCATCTATGGTGAGAAACAGCTTGGGATTGCAAAAGAAGCTCCTCAATCATTCCCCCTCTCTCTCATGTGAGGGGGTGACTCTTCTCAGATAGCTTGCCCTCATGATTGTTGTTTTTCATGGTTTTTTTTTGTTTTCAGGGACAAATATATATGCTGCCCCATCTATTTTGAGCATTGCTAAAAGGCAGACAAGGGTTTACCGTTTCATTCAAAACATGTGAATTCCAACCATGCAGCAATCCCTCAGTGTTGTGTTAAAGTGTCAGCTTGGATTATGTGCTCAAGTCCCTAGAATGAGAATTAAACTCAAACTTCAACCCAGTCCATGCTAATGTCGGTTAACCATGGTTCAACGACGTTCAAATAAGGGAATCGCTAACAAAGAAGAAAGGATTATCTATGGCAGGATGGCTCAATGTTTTCTCAATGGACACACAAAGAAGCAATAACGTGTAAAACCTACCCTTCTGGATTTCTCCAGCAATGGCTGCTATTTCAGGCAAGTTTTGTTTTGCTGAAAGCTATGAAATGACAAAATAACATATATCTTAGGGGCAGGAACAACCCATTTGGCCACTTGAGTTTGCTCAATAAGTTCTAATTGTGGCCTTAGTTCCGATATATTTGGAATTGGCTTGCTTTTATTTTTGATCTGGTTGACTATATTTAATTAAGAGTGGCAAAATGGAAAATAAATGTATTTGTTGTACTGATTGAAAGGGGATTAGAAAGAGCAAAGCCAAACACCTTTCCTCAATCAATAGTTGCACTACTATCTTTTTCCTATTAGCTTAATAATGTGCTATCCCTTCTATTATGTCACCTCCTACACCATGAACTCTTATTTTGTGTCGTAGCCTCATCAGATATCTTCAGGAAGTCTAACTGCAGCATTAACACAGGTTCCCTTTATCCATGTCGTTACTTCCTCAAATAACAACACATTAGAACATACGAAAATAAAAATTAGGAGTAGGAATAGGCCATTCAGCCCTTTATGTCTATCCCACCCTTCTATATGGTCATGCCTGATCTGCCATTGTCCTCAAATCCTCTTTAATGCCTGGTCCTCACACTATCAAACAGCCTGATGAATCTCTTTCAATCAACAACCAAGACAGCATACCCTTTCTTAAAAACACGGTCCCAAACTACACATAGTGCTTCAGATGTGGCCTCACCAACACCTTGTACAGTTATGATGAGACTTCCCTACTTATAAACTTCAATCCCTTCACAATAAAGGCCACAATTCCATTTGCATGGTTGCTTGCTGCACCTGAATACTAACTTTTTGTGTTTCATGCTCAAGAACACTGATATGCCTCCATGCTGTACATTTTTTAAAAAAAACTAAATGAACTGCAGATGCTGGAAGCCAGAAACAAAAACAGAAATTGATGGAAAAGCTAAGCAGATCTGGCAGCATCTGTGGAGAGAAATCAGGGTTCACGTCTTAGGCACAGCGACCATTCCTCAGAACTGATAGTTGCTAGGAAAACGTTGGTTTTTATGCAGAATATGGGGGGAAGGGATAAGGAGGAAATGATAGGTGAAGATAGACCCCTAAGAGAGAGAAGAACAGACTAAGGAGTGGATAATGATCATCCTAGGAGAATGAATAGCTATAAATGGGGACTGTTAGTGGCTAATAATGGGTTGTGTGCAACAGCAGACCATGTGATAACAAGGCCTGGAGTGTAAGGGTTCTGGTGAGGACGTGGAGAAGGTGTTTCAAGCTGTAAAATTGTTGAACTTGATATTGAGTCCAGAAGGCTGTAGTATTAGCAAGTGGAAAATGAGGTGCTTTCTTCCAGCTTGTGCTGAACTTTGCTGGAGCACTGCTACAAGCCTGATACAGGGATGTTGGCTGACAAACAAGGTAGTGTGTTAAAGTGGCAGGCAACTGGAAGTTAAGGGTCTTTTTTGCAGACAGAGTGTAGGTGTTCTGTGAAGTGGTCACTCATCTATACTTTGTTTCCCAGTGTACAGGAGACAACATTATGAGCAGCGAATATGGTGAACTAGATTGAGTGAAGTGCAGGTAAAGCACTGCTTCACCTGGAAGGTGTGTTTGGGCCCTTGGATACTGAGGAGGAAGGAAGCAAACAGGTAGGTGTTACACCTTCTGTGGTGGCAGAGGAAGGTGGCATTGGGCTGTGGGGGGCTGTTGCGAGTGAAGGAGGAGTGGACCAAGATGCCCCAGAGGGAATGGTCCACGCGGAAGGCTGACAAGGGAATGGAGGAGAATGTGTGTCTGGTGGTGGCATCCTGCTGGAGGTGGTGGAAATGGCAGCTAATGATCCTCTGGATTAGGATGCTTGTGGGATGATAGGTGTGGACAAGGGGGACTGTATTGCTGTTGTGGGCAGGAAGAGAGAGGATAAGGGGTGAAGTGTGAGAGATGGGTTCAACCTGGCTGAGGGCACAGTGAAGTATGTTCTCTTTTGCAGTCTTTCCTTATTTAAATTATAGTTTACCCTTCAATTCTTCTTATTAAAGAGCATGACATCACACTTTCCTACATTAACCACCATTTGACAAGTTATGGCCCACTCACAAACTATCTATATCCCCTTGCAAATTCCTTACGTTCCCATTACAATATGCCCTCACACTTATTTTTGTATCATCTACAAATTTGGGTGCATTACCTGCCTGTCCCTCTTCCAAGTCATCATTATAGACTGATCCTTGTGACCTTCCACTAGTTACGTATTTCCGAATGGGAAAAGAACCATAAAGTCCAACCTTTTTTTCCCTTTATTCAATCACTGGATGTGGGCATCGCTGGCTAGGTGGCATTTATTGCCCATTCCTAGTTGCTCAGAGGGCAGATAAGAATCAACTGCATTGCTGTGGATCTGGAGTCACATGTGGGCCAGACCAGGTAAAGATGGCAGCTTCTTTCCCTAAAGGACATTAGTGAACCAGATGGGTCTTTCTGACAATTGGCAATGGATTCATGGTCATCATTAGATTCTTAATTCCAGATATTTATTGAACTCAAACTCCGCAATCTGTTGTGGTGGGATTTGAACCCGGGTCCCCAAAACGTCATCTGGG